TCTCGTAACATGTAATTATAAACACTCATCAATCATTTCAGTTTGTATATAGGTTAAACCTGGTCTTCTTTAACAACAGACTTGAACTCATACGACACTACGCCTGGAGTAGACTATATGTCGTTTGCTATACTGGTGAAACTATTTATTTTAATTACGCCTGATACCCTCCGTGAATCATTGATCCCCGACAAAGATTCTTCAACCGACTCTGTCCACCGCTTCTTTCACAGTTCATACAAGTTCCCATCCGTCAACTCAGCGTCTGCCTCCGATTCTTGGCGCAATGTATTCTTTGGTCTGCCTCATTTCCTCTTATCTTTAGGATTCCAAGTTAGTACATGTCTCCTGATGTAGTCTACAGATTTTCTCAATGTGTACCATTTGCTTTCAGCGTCTTGTTGTTGATGGTATCCGAGCAATAGATCTGAAATATATTTCGTCAACAACTATCCATTAATACCTTTAACTTTTGATGATGAATGTAATGGTTTTCCAAGTTTCAGCTACATACAACAGAATTGTTCTAACATTAGTGTTGGAGATTCTTACTTTGGTAATGGGTGACGGTTGTTTTTAGTTCCAGACATTTGTCAGTTGTAGGAATGTTACTTTTGCAGTGCCTATTCGTACGTTTATATCTGCACCAGATCATCCTTTTTTATCAGAATTGCTGTCCAGGCACGTAGAGCCTTCCATCTCTTCGAGAAAATGACCGTCAGGTGTGATTTGGTTGGTGCAGGCTGTATTGTATTTTAGGATCTTTTCATTTTCCTTGTGTATGTTGTGGCTTACTGATGCAGAAGCAACTTCTCTATTGGCATTCTTCAATCTAATTTGTTGCTGTGTTTGAGGTAGAGAGGATAGATGATGAGTAAGCGAGGATGATAATGATTGGTTGCTTGCTTATTTAGACTTGTAGATAGTCTGACAGGCATTAGATGAGTTCATATTCCCCTATCCTTGCTATTATTCTTATTATTATTGATTGTTGTCGGCTTTGGTTGTGGAAATACATTTTCACTCTAGTGAGACTAATAATGTGTTCTTGATCTGAGTTGTGTTGAAGTCCTGTAGAATAGACACTGGGAGAGAATCTAGTGTCAATTAACGTCCCTTTCGTGTAGACGTGGAAAACTAAGCGTTATGGCACTAGGTCATTTTAGAAGTTGAAAATGTCTGACTGCATCCAAGCTGTTTGTTTCAACTACTTCTTTGGGATTCCTGAATTTCGTGATGAACTTGTTGATTTCTTTGTTCGTTGATGGGGTACCATCTGCGTGGCAATCTTTGGGTTTGGCCTCGATGTTGGGTGTGCTCAGAGGTGCCGATCTATTCGAAAGATGGAACGAATTGAGCGAAGAAATTTCTTTTCAGTTGGTTTTTTCTTCGCTCAATCCGTTCCTTCTTTATTTACCAAATGGCAAAATGGGAATTTTCACTATATTCGAAAGATCTTCAAGGTGCTCCACGCATCTATCCCGCTACTATTAATCCTCAGTGATTGATTTCCCTTCTTCGTTGTTGGCTGGTTGCTTTGATCTACTATGTTGATTGTAATATCATTCAGTTTTCTTATATATCCTTTTTTGTAGCCTTTTCTACTAGGTCATACACGTATTTCCGCTTATCAGCCCTGATGTCTCTGTTTACCGGTTTATTTGCTTCTGTGCCCTGGTTTATTCTGCCCTTGTTCGGATGCTGTTAATTGCTGTCTTCCTGTCTTTCCTTTCTTGAACCTTGACCAAGATATCGATATAGATCTTCTCGTGATGGTGCTTTTTGGGAACCAGCATCTCTTTGAATTTTGAAGTTAATGCTTTTTGAATCCTTTTCCAGTGGTTGTCTATGGTGGTTTCCTCTTGTTTGAGTTGATCTTGTAAAGCTTGAAATGTGTTGTTGATCACTACCATACTGAACTCTCTAAGCTCGTTAAAATCTCAAAGGAAGGCTGTATTAAACTTTTGTATTGCTGTTTCTCCAGCTGTCCTGGGATTCTTTAGCTTTTGCTTCAAATTGACTATCAGCAAGTAGTAATCTCAAACTATGTCAGCTCTCTTGTTCGTTATTACGTCTTTTATGAACCGTCAGAATTTTTCGTTAAAAAGAACGTAATCGATCAGATTCTCTGTAATGTGATCCGGTGAAACCAATGTAGTTTTTTGTATGTGTTTGTGGTGAAATATACCACCACCTATAATCATTTCGTTAAAAGCACATAAATTTGCAAATCTGTTGCCATAACCGGTGTTTTTTCCATTCCAACCCTGGCCTTCAGGCCTCCCATCGAGATAGTCAGGCTCTTTTCTGGACACTTCTCTACGATTGTCTGCAGCCTTGTATTTTTTCTTCATAACCAGAGTGCAACAATACCCCTATCGAAGCTAACCATTTTTGTCCAGTTCGCATCCTATGAGTTTCACTTATTCCGAGCACCATCAGGATGTAGCTTATCATATCCTCAGCTGGTCTTCCTGGTCTGCCACATAGTGCGGACTTTCCATTTATTGGTGTTAATTGTTCCTTTGGTTGTTTGAAGGGGAATCAGCCATGTGACTTTTGAAACATCTCAGTATTCACAGTGGGACGTCGATATTCTTATAGTTGATTATCCCTTAACCATCAGAAGAGAACGTTAATGACTTAAATGACGTCTTTGGCTGGTGTTATTTTGGAAGGGATTTTTCTATGAGATGGAGTTGCTGGTCCTATCTCTGTCTCTTTCCTTTTAATCGCTCTTGGGACCGTCAGTCACGCTGGACGAGCTCCAGGAGGAGTCTGTGATAACATTGATCAATGTTGCATAATTTCAAAGGTAATAAGAAGTTTTTCCAAGTGTCGAAAAACACCTAAAAGACCAAGGGGAAAATACATTAGAGATGGAGGATAATTATCAACTAGAAAGGAATTAAAGAAATGAATACCGAGCGGTATTGCGTTGATAATAGTTTAAAAATTCCAAATATAGATTGACTACGTAATGAGCAAACAATTAAGGGAAAATGTTTTCAGATGAAGATATTACATAGAAGAGAGAAAATTTCTCTCCTGGTAAATATAAAGAACTGGATAAGTATTCTGATAATAGCTAATTAATGGTCGTGAAGAAATTATGATAGAATAATGGCAATAGTTTAGCGAGTATGGATGATATGAAGGGAGTTGAGATCATGATAAAATGATATTATTATTATTACTTTTATTCAATGTTATATTTTCGGTGAAATATAGAATTCTCAGCACAAAGTATCTCAACAGGTTTCCTTTTCTTATTTCTTTATCGATTCTTGCGATAAATATTGAGTGGTCGCCAGTTAATTGTTAGCAGTTGAGGAATCAACATCTGAATAATGTATATTCTTTTCGATGAATATAGCCAGCAACCACTATGTCTCATCGGGCTGTTTTGTAACTTGTATAGCGAAATGTTGTAAACTTCTCAAAAACACACCTGAATAGGTTATGAGACTAATAGGTATAATTCTGTGTTAAAACAAACAAGCAAAAAGTTAACTTGTTGAATTATCCAGATTGCGGGGGCGGGCAGCCGAGATATTCAAAGAGACAGCCTCTATTGGCTTAATACACATAGATTAGGCCGGAGTCGGTGGACCGCTAAGGCCCCTGTGGTACATATGTTTCTGATTTGTATTCCATTTGAACCACATCTTTTTACTTTATGGATGAAATTGAATGAGTAATCTGGTGGAGCAATGTGATCAGTGTTCACTATATCAGTGGCTTTCTAGAAGAGGTGTTCATGAACAAAGATAACATGTTGTAGGGAACGAGTAACTAGTTAGAGTTGATCATGTGAACTTATCATGTCATATAAAATGCTAGTTAACCTGAACAGAGAAGTTCGACACAATTTAGACTCTTATACCGTATATTTAGAGAAGACGGTAACCACACTGAAGCGAGACGTGTTCTTATACTTCTTAAAAATTATGTATAATTGAATTTTTTGTGGGCATTTATAAAATCTAGTAAGGATTTGAATTAGCAACCATTTGAAACAGTCACTCAAAATGTTTGAAAAATCCGAGGACTTGATATTGATAGATTATCTCACACTCTAGAGGTTAGGCGTTCGCGCACGAGACCGAAGGTCCTAGTTTCGAGTCCCACGTGCTGGGCAGTGGATGCTCACTACTGAGAAGCCCCGTACTGGGACGAAACTGTTGTCCAGTGCTTTCAAGTTTTCAGTGGTAGTCTAACATTACTCAATATCGACATCGTACTAATCAATTTACATTACCCTTTAACAAATACATATATGCATTCATATATTACAACAAAATACTCAGGATTGAGAGAAGTGAAATAGCCCACTAATGATGATGGATGCTTCCATTAGATTGATGATTGTTATTAGTGGAAGTGTACGCTGCAATCTAAACCTAACGAATATGCTACAGTATAGCCATGTGATTGGTCGAAAACGTTAGCGATCAATCACGAGCAGACTACCAATTAGAAAACTTAAATTCATAATAGTCCATATAAGATCACTACAAAACAGTATTAGCCAACCACAGTGAAATAAAATTGACCTATATTTGGATGGCTGACAATTACTTCATTAAAGAAGGGGTTTAAACTAACAAACCACATAGAACAAAAGCATATATGTACAAGAATATAATTACTTCAAGCACGATGAACAGATGCATTAAAATGTCTATCTGTAAGTGAACAATGTTCGGCTTGGCAATAGTCTTGGTTCCTAAATGCATCTCAAAAGGTGAAATGGTATGAAATCAGCAAAATAACTGAATGATTAACCATTTATTTGATTACTTACATTGATTATTAGTGGAAACACCTTTCTATTAACTTTGATAAAGTTTGCAAAACTAGCTGGTTACCGACACAAACTGCGATTAGAAAATTCCTCTACTAACATGGATGTGTTCATGAATATGAAGCACCTTGTGTAAGAAGAACATTTTCCTTTAAACTACAACACCATTTAACAAGAAATAACGATCGAAAAAATGGAGTACAACATAACTACATGGCCATTCAGAGAAAACCCATGGAGTTCCAAGTTAATTTGTAACAAGTTATTAGTGAAATGGACAGAAGGTGTTTATGCGACGTGCATAGCATCAACAGTATTGGGTTTCATATCAGCCTATATTTTGCCCGTATTCCTAATTATATCATTTATCATTTATACTACACTAACTAGTGTGTTAATTGCATCCAATCATAAAACTAGATCGTCGATTTACTTCCTTGGATCACTGATATCAAATATACTTGTCAGTATAGCGTATGGCTTGTTTTGGTTTTACTTAACCAAAGGATTACCGTATGCAACAAATGGTGATAAATATTTCTTCCTGTTGTATGTGTCCATAGATTCGTGTAAATTTTTCCGTTTTTGGCATTCGTTTTCTTCAAATCTTATGTGTAACTTTCTATTGTGTGCAGCGGTTGATCGTTATCTAACTGTTTATTTCCCGACAAAATTCTCAAACCTACCAAACAAGTTCGCTTGGTATGCTTTCGGTTCAGTCTGGCTCATAAGCTTTCTTATGACAATTCCATTTGCAATCGTTAGCAGCTTGCTTGCTGTTGGAGGAAAGCTTCATTGTTGGGTTACACCAGAGAGTATCTATTCTTTATTTTACAATGCTTTGGTAACAAATATGGGACCTGTACAACTATCCATCACCATAACCATAAATATCATGTTTTCCGTACGCATACGCAAACAACTGCGACAAATGAGCACAATGAAAAACACAACTGCGACGGATCGTAAACAGCTTCAAACTTTAACATTTCTAATCATATTTTCTGCATCCTATGCAGTGTTTGGTGTTCCACAAAGTGTTGTGTACATCATAAACAGAGCTACTGTACTGGGTTTCATTGATGCTAATTCTGATTTGTGTCAAAACATTGGTGATATAATATGGACTTTGTTCTTCTGTAGAAGTTTGTTTGATATTGTATTGGGTTACTTTTATTTTCAACCAGTACGCGAAACATGCTTAACTGTTTACAGAAGTTGTGGAAAGTTGAAGAAAAAGAGCTCTACTTTGAACTCCCAATTTTCAACATATCAGCAGCGATCATAACGGAATGCTTATAAAATAAACTTCAATAATGAGTAAACATAAATATTCAAGTAATTGAACAATGACATACAAATCAATTTATAGTATGAAGAAACAATCAAACAGAGAGTCCATCTGAGTCAAGATGAACGGGTTCACACTATCACATTTTATGATTATGTGATTTCTAATTATAAGTTGTTTTCAGACACAGACAATTGTTCTATAACGTGATAGATTTTATACAAACACCTTGGGACATTAGATCACGTAAATGTACATATCAAGTTCGTATTTGTTCTGCGTTAATGTTCATCTAAACTCATCATAAGATGGTTTAAATGATTTGCCGTACTAATCATGTACCCAAATCATTTCTATGTTCATGAGGTACATCATCTAATAATACACATTGTCATTAAGCAATCAGATTTTATTAAAATACATTTTAATCTTCTTTACTTTTATTCCGATCCATAACAATACATTTATCTACTATCAATTATGTAACCGAATTAGTAATATTCTTTAATAACTTAAAATACAGAGTTTTAAAATATTTGATCTGAACAAAAGTTGTTCAGATTGTTTATGAAGAATATTTTGTTTTATCAACTATTGTCATTATATGTGAGTGTTCAAGAGAACGATAGTTTACGAGAACATCTTCGTCAGGCTCCACTGTTACAAATCCAAAATTATTGTATTACAATAGATAAAATATTAAAGTTGTATTAACACAGATGGTAAATTGAGAATGATGAACTTCACGCTAATTGAGACTTGAATAGTAATTTCTACTGCAATATTTTGTCTATTGTAACACAAAAATCATTTATAATTTAAAACTGTAGAGTCTGATGATAAAGAAATTAGACAGTGGACAATGATTGAGAAAAAATGGGTGGAAGAAAATAGACAAATGAAGGATTTGATAGATAGTGATAAAAAGTAAAATCATTTTATAAGTCATATCGGGTCTAGGATGAGAAAGGAAAATTGGGAATTTATTATGAATACAGAGATTAGGTTTGTTAGCTTAAATCTCTATAACTTTGGCCGTATATAGAAGAAGAGTTTGAAGTGCATCAGAAAAAGTTGAATGTATACGACAACTTACTTTTAATGAAATGGCCCTATCTACTACATGATGGCTATCAAGCAGTTGTTGTAGAATGAGTCTGTGTACTATTGTAGTCATACCTTTTCCGAAACCTGAATAAAGGTACTCACTAACTCGTTGGTCGAATTGTCCGGTTGTACATCCGATATAGTTGTCTCTGAAGCAGTAGCTGAATTTGAAGACATGTATGGCTGTCACAAAACCAGATAAAATATCTTTTAGTTGACGAACAACCACAGGTTAGTTAGAAAAATATAGAGAGATTAACTACATAAAACGTCTTCTTTGCTACTCCAGTCAGTTTATTCTGTGGTACATCACTAGCTATATATCTGCTGAATTGTAGCTACAAAATGAATGATTTTTCCTATGACATTGATATCACTACCTTGCTGTTAACTTTATCTATACTCTTATTCAGAACACTCCGATGATGTATCGTTGCAATCAAAATATTATGTGTGAACTCTAGTTGTTCATTTATTGTACTCTCTGGGCAAATCTTCCTAGCCTTACTTGCAAGGAAACTATTGAAGTACCAAATGATATAAACGAAAATTTCGTTCACCCCCAATATAACTTACAAACTAAAATTATTTGGCCTGAGAATTAATTGGCTGAAAATATTTCACTGGAAATTCTCTTGTTCCCAAAACAATATTTGGATTGCAAATAATTTCTTAAGGGTTATAAAAAGACTTTTAAAACATACAAAATTCCATGAATTCGTTTTTTAGATCTGCACATTTCCAACTTTATCTCGATACGTAATAGCGCGAAGGAATTTGAACGAAACTGTCTCTTAGTTATAAAGATAACAACTCTTAGTCATTTGAGGAAAACAAAACAAAAACGAAAACGAATTAATACAATACAACAAATGTTTAATTGATGAATAAAATCTTCACTTATCGGTATCAAACTAATCCATCTTAATGTTTAAAAAATAATAGGAAATATAATTCGATTACTTTATGATGCTACATAAACAAACAGAACTATTTCTCCGGGACTATTCAAAGGATGTTTCAGTTAGTTGTCTATATATTTGACTATACATGCGAGATCGTTGTTGAGCACTGCTGAGAAGTCCTATACTAGGGTGAAACGGCCGTTCAGTGCTTCCAGGTTTTCAATGGTCTATCATTTAGTGATTCATTATGTCAATAAAAAATAATTATTATTTAGTATTCAGAACGTATATAATATTGACTGATATAATAGCACCAAGCCGCTGAAGATAAACTTGATTTAGAGTTCTTCAACCTTATTTACTCTTCATCTTAACAGCAATTTTATTTCTCGAATTTTTCTTCGTTTCAAAATAATGAGCTGTCGAATAATTTTTGTGACCATATAGGGTTGTTTAAGCTTAATATTTTTTCCGAAAGTTTGTAGCTCCTGAATGTAATCAAATTAAATTCCTTATCAAACTTGTGTGTAAGCCCTTGAAATTAATCACCTTTTGTATTCTGAGAGACAAATGTCAGAGCACATATATAACCTAGTTAAATACACGATTGTATATCATATTCTAAATATTATAAACTACGCACACTCAAAAATTTACTCAGTATACTAGTATGATAGTGAATTAAAAATCTGTAATGTCTCCAGAAGAATTTTCATTTATTTATATTCCCTAGTCAATAGAACATTGATACGTATCAATTTTAAGTCCGTTCAATTCTTCTTCGCGTGCAATTTGAAACTGATACGATACCATATATTGGAAATAGATAAAGACGCTTATTCAGATTAAGCGAATTCAGCATATGTATATATGATGAGTTTTTATTTTAGTTTCGCATACTAGAATTATTAACTGTGAATATATTGAATTTCCATAGAAATAATCAGTAAAATTATCACCGTTAGTTTAATTTTAATTCATAGATTGCAACTAAATATAAAGACAAGTTTCTTTTAACTAGTTTACATACAAAAATATGTTATGGGGACTTATTTACAGTTGATATAAAATCCATTCAAAATATTCTTTTTATAAAATATAACTCACTAATCTGCAAATGACGGTATAATTCTCTTATAAAGCATATTGAAGTCGGTCAATGGAACATCCTATTGTGTCTGCATTTGCTTCAAAATACGTGACTTCAATAACACCATAATATAATTAATATTATTCAACTTCCTTCTTCGCTAAATTATCAGTTCACATGTGTTCATTCTCAACAAGCATGAATACATATTTAAAAATACCACTTTTTATGAATATCCTATTTCAGTCATATTAATTTATGAACTATTTTGTAACTATAATAAAAATTTCAATACTGTCAATTATACAATCTAATGGAAAATTTAACTGGACAGTTTAGAAATACTCCATGGGATACATATGAAGGTTGTGATTCATCCTTAATAAATACATCAAATTTAATAATTCAGAACGATCGAATAAGTTGTGGAGTATCTATGTTGTTAGGAGCATGGTCCGGTTATATACTACCAGTTATATCTATCTTAGGACTTATTTCAAACACATTCATATCAGCTGTTACGTTTGTTCAAATTAAGTTAATGCCACGTCATATGGTCTACATGGCATTTATTGCAATCATGAATTCAATAACAAACATAATATATGGTTGGTTATGGTTATTTTCTGCTAAAGGTTTACCATTCATCACGAAAGGCGAAATGTATTTTATTATAAACAACGTTTCACCAATGGTATGTAGAATACATCGATTCATCTATTCATCTGTGTCAACATGCATGTGTAATTTATTAGTTTGTGCTGCGTTGGATCGTTTCTTTTGCATATATTTTCCAATATTATTTAATAAGCTACCGAAATATTATGTTTGGTTTGCATGTGGTGCAGTCTATCTGTTGAGCTTCCTGATGATGTTGCCAGTACTCTTCATAAGTGGTTGGTATATTGTTGAATCAAAAATACAATGTTCTTTAGAACCAAATCAATATGCGATTCGATTATACCATGCATTGTTTTCAAATTTAGGCTGCGTACAAAGTCTAATATTAGTCAGTATTAATGTGGCGTTTCTTCTACGTATACGTAAACATGTAAAAGATACAGCTACAAGAAAGATGAGTGTAACTGATCGTAGACAATTACATACAACTGTATTCTTTTTAGTTTACTCAGCATCATATACTTTAACATCGATTCCGCAAGCCATCGCTTACATTATTGGTAGATATAGTGATATTAGAAATGCGTTGAATCAGTCCAAATTTGCAATTCAAATAGCAAATATATTTTGGAATTTACATTTTACACGTGAATTGTTTGATTTTTTTATTTACTTTAAATATTTTAAACCATTTCGTCTAGTTGTACTAGATATATGTAGACCATGCTACAAACCGAAAATGAATGATACTAAACAAAAAGTTTAATAAAGCACATGGAAACAATAATATTATCAAGAGTGAGTAATCATACTGAATACTTTTCATTTAAATTATAAAACAATTCATCATGATTGCCTAAAACTAAATAA